GGTCACCTGGGATCAATCTTCCATATTCGGATTCAGATTTCCATTGGGCCCTACCTACTAAATTTCCTTCATATCTCATTAATGTTTTCCAAGTTATCCCATTTCAAAGTTCCATTTTGAATTTTTCTGGGATAAGACTATAAACACCAACCATCGGATTTGATTGAAATTATAATACATGACGTGACCTGTCATTAAATATCAATTTCCAAAGTTTTGGCTTCTTGCCTTCAATGGTGGCCAATAAACGACTACTGTAATGTCGGGGTGGTACTATATACTCTATAGAGAATACCGGAAATAGCTGTCTATGGGGTCTGGTATGCTATGGTGAGGCTTCCCTCTTTTTAGATCTATCACATACAATTTTTTAGTCTCAATCGAACCGCTAGATATTGATTTTTAAAAGAGCTATTTGCATTTTTGGGATCCCTTTTCACTTGGGTCAGGGGGGTCCGAGGGTTCTGGATTTTTGCATGCCCGTGTCAAACCACTTCTACTAACTACCGTATGAAATTCATGAATCTTGGCATAATTTGTTCCTATTTAGGGGGGTTGGTAGACCCACTTATTTTCACTCGGATTCTAAGCTCATTAGCTTAACTATCGCCCACCTTTTAGTCATATTAGTTAATACGGACTGTAAAACTTAAATATATTTGCATGCCGTAGGTCAAGAGGTTCTTTACCTAAGTCAAATGAGGCACAGACGCTGTCGGACCCTGTGCATTGACTGCGAAGGCTGTTTCGAGAACCGCAAGACAATGAATAACGACGGGTCTATGGTTCGCCTATCGCCGAAGATAGGAGCCCAAACTTGTCAAAGGTTGGGACTGACGATAGGGAACAGCTCTATTATCTCAGAGAACTCCGACAAAATTGACGCGTTCCGATACGATTAGTTGTTATTAGAATGAGCTCCCCCGTGTTCCAATTGTCTGATGACTGCACCCACCACCTTCACACGGGGTCGAATAATAAGTGTACTAAGCTTCAAGAGATGGTCAGAGAACAATAATAAAAGCAACTTGCGCGATATCAATTGCCTTTCTACCCACTGTTCCATGTCAGAATATTGTCAAATGCGGAATCCGCAAATCCGATCTCCACGTTTTGGCCGAAAAGCTGCGCGTCCAGATTTTCGAGTATCGCCTCGTGCAGGGCCAAAAGGCTAAATGGAATTACATTGCTGAGGATACGTGTTGTCGGTCCGGATCGGAAGCCATTTACTTAACAAGGTTCAACCTCAGTATGGGGAAGGGCCTTCTCTGCTTGTTGCGGCTCACGTCCGCTATACTCTTAGATTAGTCTAGAACTTAAAACCAAAACAATCAGATATGGTGACTAAGTTTTGAATGGGTTGTACTGACATTACTTGCTAAAACTCCATCTGTCGTGCACAATGCTCGGCTATTAATATTATGAATTCTCACACTCCAAGAAAAAAAGACCGTTCGGGTTTAATGTCGAGTACAGCCAAGTCACTGTAGCTTAGTGAATATTGCATCTGCTTTCATTTGAAAGGTTGGAGAGATCAAATCACCCCGAATTGAAAATTTTATCTGAAATTCGAAAAAGACCGTTAGTTTGTTTCACTGATTAAACAAAAAGGGAGCATAGACCCCCATTGCATGACTATGGCAGTAATGGGGAGCGATGTGATGGAGAAGGAAAAACTTTTTTTTATATGAGCTTCTATTACCTCACAAAATATCAGCCTTCTAGTATGCGGGGAACCTCAAAAAAAGCATGTTTTAGAAACGTTTACTTTTTAGAAAGGCTAAATTGAGCTACAGAAAATAATTAATTTACAACTGAGCTTTTTTTGAACATTTTCACAAAGATTGTGATTTTTTTTTGTTGAATTCTCGGTATTGAATTGACTAGGTTTGTTTTGTCCTCTCACGGTTTTGAGGATGTTAACTTTTGATTTGTTACTAGGTCCGTCGAATTTCACTTGGTCTGGGAATGTTCATATTGAAGGTTTGCTTCGTTAAAAAAAACTATATTTTAGCCTAAACATTAGTAAGATCAAATTGCTGCCCTTTAGTTTTGAAAAATTTCTGACGCTTTCTTTGCACGAATTTAATTGCACGTTAGTCATCCAATTTGACCAAATTTGCAAAATTGAGAAAATTAAACGATCCCAGTAAAATATCCTTTTAGTTTGAGCTCAGGCAATTAATATAATTTAAAATCTATAGGACATCTCTTCAACAATGCGGGCCAGTAAAAAATTCGAAACTAGTCCAGAGAAAAGTAGGAAAAGTCGACAAATGTTTCGTAACTGTCTTCAAAAATTGGAACAAAAAATCTAAAAACTTGCCCTGAATAAGCGGATTGCCTTGTAAGGTCTATTGAGCAGTAAAAACATGAAACAAATGTAGAAAATAAAATAACATGAAAAAACAAATGTAAAAAAAACAAAATATATAATTTTCTAAAATTTAAACTTTTTGCAAAAACCATCCCCTCACACGCCATATAAAGTACAAAAAGATAAATTTCGCTCCTAGTAGCAAATCAATTGTGGCAAATAAACTTTCTTGAACCAATTGGAACGATTTCTAAAACGGATTAAATCTTCGCTGACGCGTTAATAGTGCGAAATATATCACGCATTAATTGTCCCAAATTGGCCAAGTTCGCAATCTTTAAACCTCCAAAGTTTTACAAAAATTGATTGCAGGTAAAATATCTTTCAAGTTTGAGCTCAGTACAGCAATAACTTTGTAATGGTATAAAAAATCTCATCAAAACTTGCTAGTCAAAAATCGATTTTTGTCCGGAGAAAAAAACCACCCCAAGCACAATGTTCCGTCACTTTCATCAAAAGTCGGATTAAAAACACATTACTGCAAAAGTTTAGAATAATCAATAATCAATATACAAAATTGAGCAAAAATCTGATTGTTGCTTTTCAAACCGCCAGTTTTGAAAACCTATTTTCAGCCGGGTACTTTTTGCCCTGAACGGGCAATTTGCCTGTAGGCCTCAAAACCATTGTAGCAATTGTCATGTGTAGAATTTATGCCAATCTCAGAGAAGCGTATGATCATATAACAGAGTGTATTTGAAAGTTGAGTACTAATGTCGAAAGTATTTTCTCTGAGCATACGCTGAACAGCTAATGTAGGAGGGGTTGGCGGGGGACGCCTTTTTTTCAGAGATTCGGCCCTCTGCCGACCCAAAGGGTCCCCTTTTTGTACTATTTTGAGATCTCCGTTTTTGGCTGACTGACCCTAAAAATTTCTAAAGGCGCCTTCGGATTGTTTTGTCTTTGAAGATCGGCTCAATGCCTAGTAGGCGAATAAGTCCAAAAGAAGCATTATTGTAGCTTTTTTGGAAATGCAGATATCTGATAACACATAGATCAAGCATAAAAAATCTGAGATATTTCTTAGATTCAAAAGTAATTACATTTCGCAGTTCTGGATCATTGATGGATAAAAAATTCACTATTAGCACCTAACTATTAGCTTGAATAAAAATTACTGCAAATCTTTTGTTATTAATAAAACTTGTCCTAAATGCCTCTTTTGAGATTCAGATCTATCATGACTTTTTGAAACCCAGCTTGAACTAACTGAAAAAAACGGGATTATAAATAAACACTGTCTGATTTTCACAAATGATGTTTCTTTGCCAGTTATCTGACAATCAAACGAATCAAAATTTCACGGAAAAAAGTAGGAAAAAAAGTATGTTTGATTGATAAGATTCAGTGTCTATTTTTATCTAGCAAATGTGAATGTCTGGAATGTCGTCTTCTGTTAGCTCGGAAATCGATATATCAATTAACTTTAGTTTGTGACGCTCTTATTTGTTGTTCATAAAGGTGAAATGAAATTTTTACTTGATTATGGTGAAAAAATTTGCAATTGTATAGCAGAATACCAAACTATGTGATGGCTCTACGTTTTTTGTCTGCAAAATATGCAAAAAAAAATCAATTTAGATACCTACAAGCTACAGTAATTTAGGGTATACCAGACATGTTTTTATTGATTAGAGGGAAGACAAACATCATCTAAAATGTTCCAGACATATTTTCAATTCCGGTATTAGGTGCCAACCTTTCTGACCAGCTAGTGTAGCATGCAGCGTAATTTTGTGCCGGATCCTTTGTTTATTATACCTGTTACTGTTACCACTGCCCTAAGAAAAACTTATTTCCAAAATTGCATATACCAATGCAAGATGAAAAGCGTCATACTACAAACAAACAACACCCTGGTAGATTTTTGAGAGAAAGAGAAAAAAAAGTTCTATATCTGCCTATTTTAAACCACCCATGTGCCTGTTTCATTCATCGCCCGTCCAAAAAGAGGAGGATACTCTAACGAAATTAATTCAACAGATACGACTTGCAATTTTGTAATCCGTTCACGCCTTGTTTCTAAATCCAGTCTCTGAAAAATGCCTACGAGGAAAAACAGTATTGGAATTCATAGTTTGTGACAGACAGTTAAAAGTGATTTTAACAATTTTCAGCCATTTTCGCTGTTCTTCAGAATCGTATTTGTTTTAGTTATTTGTTGTTGAGATTTCTTTGTTGATTGATTACCTGACAACATTTAATTTTATATTCACAATAAAAATCAAATTTAGTTCAATTTTATGAATCGAAATAGCAATGTTTTCGAATTCGCTAAAAACAATCTTCGCAAAAAATGGGTTTTACCTAGCAACCTTGGAAAAATGAATTTTTGAAGTTTCCAAAACTTTTTATTTTTTCCCCATAATTGGTTGTTTTATGAATGGTAGTTCCGTCTCCGTGTATTTCAATATTGTACGGACGTTTGTTTGCTGAGAAGTCGCGTTAAAACAAAAAAATGATTTAAGAAGTATATTAGAACAAACTTCAAAGCTAAACGTCTTTTTTACTATGGTCGGCAGAAATTGTTTACATTAGATCTTAGCGTCTTTTTAATTTTGATGTAGCAGAAGATAGCTTTTTGGGATAGTTTCGACTTGCGGTTATTTCATAAAAATGCTAATTCAATTTCATGGCTTATAAGTCCCCTGGTATGGGCACAGAATTACCTTTCAGGCCTATTCCCTCGTTGATAAATGACCATCTTCGTTTTGGTAATTGTATTTTATTATGCAAATTGGGTTGAAAGGTTTAGAAGAATTCTCATAAAATTTAGATGGATTCTTACTGCGAGCCCCGATTCTATTAACGCCCATTGAGTGCTGCCATTTTCGCCCGTTACAACTATAAAAAAAGCCCCGCAGGTGGTTCTAATTTCGAAAGTAGATCCTAATTTCAAGGCTGCTTCTTTTGATGATAAAGTTTTCAAAAAAAGAAAAGAATTATTATTAATTGAGCGCAACATTTTGTCAAACTTGAACTAAAACTAGTGTAAAAAGCTAGAAAAAACTACCCGAAAGCGTTCAGCGCCTGCAAACACTTATCGTCTAAGTGCTTTTAAAGTGTCACTTCAACGGTTGGTTGATAACTTTGATCTAATCGAGTTTAATTAAAACTAGATTAATTATTCATTGTCGTTTATCCGTCTTTTTTAACTCACCCTTTTGGGGTTGCTTTTCAGATGTATTCCTAGTTTTCAGTATTCTTGCGTAATTTTCGATCTCATTACTAAATGTTTATCCTCTACAGCTCTTCAGAAAATATTACTTTTTTTAAAAGTCATTGAATGTCCAGAGCACCAATTCGTTCAATTAATTAATCTTCAACATTTAGCCTCAAAAGAATTCTGCTGCGATGGGTTTTTGTTTGGACACTTCAATCCTGCAACAAGTTTTGGATGATTGGAAACAGGTAATTTTTCTTGTAAGCTTAGTCGAACGAAGAAGTTTCGACGATCAAATACGTTATTAATTCTGAGCAGCAAATTTTTGTTCCTGTTTTCTTTCTATACTAAAAACATTCAAGAACCCGGTAAAATACACGTACTCACGTACTCAACAGTACGTAAATGCCATAAAGTATGTTGGAAATATATTTTTCACTCCCTATGACGTTTTTATTTAATTAGGATCACGTGAAAATTTGCTGTTAAACCGTATAACCGATAACTAGAAGTTCTGTCTTCATAGTTCTTAAACAATTTGTTTCTCAAATCAAGATGGAAGATATGCATCAAATGTTAGACAGCAAAAAATCTAGATTCAGATCATGTTTAGCTCTGCTTAAATAGATTAGATAAAATCATATAAATATTCATTGTAGCTTGTTTTAAACTAATGACAGCTTCCTTCTTTTTCTGGGAAGATCTGAAGATCTACAGATATACACCCCCCCGGATTGACCAAAAATGCTTATCATACAATTCTCATAAATGGGAAATTCCTTTTCATACAATTTCATACAATTCCAAAAGTACAGAAAATTGTATGAAAACTCTACAATAAACATTTTTCCATAAATGGAAATTGTATAATAGGTGTTTTCTCTATAAATCAAAAAGTTGTTTTTTGTTTCTAAACTTATTTTCTGAAAAATTTCGTTTCGGGTTGTGTTTGCAACCGAATACAAGTGACAAAGACCTTGGTTACTCAAAGCACCAAAGGTTGGACGGTCTTACATTAAAATGCGTAAAAACGACCTGAATTGACTTGCAGATGTCTTTCACAAATGATATAACAAAAGTAACAAACTTCAAAATTTTTCAGTGATGATTTTTTTAAATTTTTGAATTTTCAATTTATTAGACAATGATCATGGCATACATAAACACGCCATACAAAAGAAATAGGAATTTTCAGCGTTTTTGAAAAAAAAACTTTAAGTGAAAAGAAAAAAAAAGCCAATATTATCGTATCCAGGACTACGTTATGCACACAAAAATTAAATTTTGCATTCAAAAATTTTTTTTCGAAAAATGTTAGTTTGCGTACAAAAATTGATTTGCGGTTGAAATAAAAAACAAAAAAAATTTTGGGCAAATTTTCAAACTTACTGAAAAAGATTTTGTGTCGCCATCAAAAATGGCCAGTCTTGCAATTTCCATATATGGAAATTGTATGGAAAGCATTTTTTCAAAAAAAATATTTTAAATCAGTTTTTTTTGTCACCAATCTGTTTAACTGTTCCCAAAAAGCCGCAGAAATGGTTTAATTTTTTTCTATCGTTTTTCGAAAATGTATGAAAATTGTGAGACAACCATTTTCTCCATACACTTGATGCATGGATTTGTATGATAATGATTTTGTTCTATGGAATTGTATGATAAGCATTTTTGGTGTTTGGAGGTCAACCCGCGACTCTGCGTAGTGTTTTGTTCATTTCTGCAACCTTGATGATGATAGAAATCGTCTAAGGCCAGTTGAGGATAACATTCTGTACTTTGGTGAAAACTGATTTTTGCTGTAATTTTGCACTTGGTTTTAAGTATAGCCCGTCTCATTTGTTTCGTCTGTGATTTAGAAGTTACCTGTATCCAGCCTGAGTTATCGCTAACGAGACCACTTCATTTTATCTAGAAATCCCGGGTTGACCAAAATGTGCAACCATACGTCGCACCATGCATGGTTCCATGGAAGCCATGAAAAACTGCCGACGTATTTTTATGTTAAAATAACACATTTTCCATGCATGGCGCGACGTATGGTTGCAAATTTTTTTTTATTATGGGGGATTTCAAATTAGACAATTTTGATAATTTTACCCGGGCTGTTGAGAATTTATATGTCACCATGGATGATTGCAATGTATGGTTACTATGGTATCATGCATGGCGCGACGTATGGATACAATGGAACCTTTTATATGAAATGAAACGTTTTCGACCGCCTGTAGAACAAAAGTCTCAGCACGAAAATCTGAATGATGAAGCTCTTATATGGCATACAGATTTTTGTATGCAAGCGGCAAAGCATAAAACACGTCGTAAAGTAAAAAGCGTTTGCATGCAAGAATCAAATTAATGCAAGCGTCATAAGAAGCAGTCTTGTTTTTCGGCCCGTTTTTTTTAGTTTTACTGTAGATGCGTTCCGATGCATCATTACACCCATCGAGGAGAAGCAAAGAAGTTGGCTGGTAAAATCTTGACTCAAACCTTGATTTCTTGTTTGCTTATCTGGACTGCTCTTTCTGCGTGATTTGTAGATCGGAGATTTTTATTCCTATTTTCTTTTGCGCCTTTTTTTTGGAGTCGTCGCTAAGGAAGGTGAGTTCAATGCCTTTCGTACAAAAAATCTAGCAAAGACAGCTGACAGGCGTTCGCTGACGTCCAAGTTTTGCTTTCAATAGTCGGAAAAGCTTCAATCCACTTATTTCCTGCTACCGCAGCAACCAAGTTGTATGTTTGGTCATCAATTGTCGCCCAGACATTAAAAGTTTGTTCTAGCACTTGGATGCTTCTTTTTTTAATTAGCGATGGTCTTATATTCGACAGCTCTCACATATGCGTTAAGTCGTTCTACATCGTTTGAGATGCCAGGCCACCAGGCAGCAAAAAATCTTAGGGCAATTTAAGTTGCCTAATAACTATTGTGAGCATCAACCTTCTTTTTTCAAACCACGGGAGAAAGAAAAAAACACTACGACAGATGATGCGTGCTTTGTATTGCCATTCTTTCGAATTTCTTATTTCAAAGTCAAAACGCTTCTGATCATTGTCTCCTTTTGCCACTCTTTATGTGTTTGAGAACATCTTGATATGCGTAGTTTGGTTTGATTTGTTTTTTGATGTCCTTTTTCTGATGTCGCAAAATAACATCTTTTTTTTTCAGACGTCTTGTCGACCTAAATTGCCATTCTTTCGGATTTCTTATTTCAACGTCAGTACGCTTCTGATCATTTTCTCCGTTTGCCACTCTTTATGTGTTTGAGAACATCTTGATATGCGTAGTTTGGTTTGATTTGTTTTTTTGATGTCCTTTTTCTGATGTCGCAAAATAACATCTTTTTTTTTCAGACGTCTTGTCGACCTAAATTGCCATTCTTTCGGATTTCTTATTTCAACGTCAGTACGCTTCTGATCATTGTCTCCTTTTGACACTCTTTATGTGTTTGAGAACAACTTGATATGCGTAGTTTGATTTGATTTGTTTTTTTGATGTCCTTTTTCTGATGTCGCAAAATAACATCTTTTTTTTCAGACGTCTTGTCGACCTAAATCGCCATTCTTTCGGATTTCTTATTTCAACGTCAGTACGCTTCTGATCATTGTCTCCTTTTGCCACTCTTTATGTGTTTGAGAACATCTTGATATGCGTAGTTTGGTTTGATTTGTTTTTTTGATGTCCTTTTTCTGATGTCGCAAAATAACATCTTTTTTTTCAGACGTCTTGTCGACCTAAATCGCCATTCTTTCGGATTTCTTATTTCAACGTCAGTACGCTTCTGATCATTGTCTCCTTTTGCCACTCTTTATGTGTTTGAGAACAACTTGATATGCGTAGTTTGGTTTGATTTGTTTTTTTGATGTCCTTTTTCTGATGTCGCAAAATAACATCTTTTTTTTCAGACGTCTTGTCGACCTAAATTGCCATTCTTTCGGATTTCTTATTTCAACGTCAGTACGCTTCTGATCATTGTCTCCTTTTGCCACTTTTAATGTGTTTGAGAACAACTTGATATGCGTAGTTTGGTTTGATTTGTTTTTTGATGTCCTTTTTCTGATGTCGCAAAATAACATCTTTTTTTTTCAGACGTCTTGTCGACCTAAATTGCCATTCTTTCGGATTTCTTATTTCAACGTCAGTACGCTTCTGATCATTTTCTCCGTTTGCCACTCTTTATGTGTTTGAGAACATCTTGATATGCGTAGTTTGGTTTGATTTGTTTTTTTGATGTCCTTTTTCTGATGTCGCAAAATAACATCTTTTTTTTTCAGACGTCTTGTCGACCTAAATTGCCATTCTTTCGGATTTCTTATTTCAACGTCAGTACGCTTCTGATCATTGTCTCCTTTTGACACTTTTTATGTGTTTGAGAACAACTTGATATGCGTAGTTTGGTTTGATTTGTTTTTTTGATGTCCTTTTTCTGATGTCGCAAAATAACATCTTTTTTTTCAGACGTCTTGTCGACCTAAATCGCCATTCTTTCGGATTTCTTATTTCAACGTCAGTACGCTTCTGATCATTGTCTCCTTTTGCCACTCTTTATGTGTTTGAGAACATCTTGATATGCGTAGTTTGGTTTGATTTGTTTTTTTGATGTCCTTTTTCTGATGTCGCAAAATAACATCTTTTTTTTCAGACGTCTTGTCGACCTAAATCGCCATTCTTTCGGATTTCTTATTTCAACGTCAGTACGCTTCTGATCATTGTCTCCTTTTGCCACTCTTTATGTGTTTGAGAACAACTTGATATGCGTAGTTTGGTTTGATTTGTTTTTTTGATGTCCTTTTTCTGATGTCGCAAAATAACATCTTTTTTTTCAGACGTCTTGTCGACCTAAATTGCCATTCTTTCGGATTTCTTATTTCAACGTCAGTACGCTTCTGATCATTGTCTCCTTTTGCCACTTTTAATGTGTTTGAGAACAACTTGATATGCGTAGTTTGGTTTGATTTGTTTTTTGATGTCCTTTTTCTGATGTCGCAAAATAACATCTTTTTTTTTCAGACGTCTTGTCGACCTAAATTGCCATTCTTTCGGATTTCTTATTTCAACGTCAGTACGCTTCTGATCATTTTCTCCGTTTGCCACTCTTTATGTGTTTGAGAACATCTTGATATGCGTAGTTTGGTTTGATTTGTTTTTTTGATGTCCTTTTTCTGATGTCGCAAAATAACATCTTTTTTTTTCAGACGTCTTGTCGACCTAAATTGCCATTCTTTCGGATTTCTTATTTCAACGTCAGTACGC